GCAGCTCTTCAGCTCACTGAGGGTCTCACTGCACCTTCAGCTTACCCCCCCCCCATTAAGTTCTTCATAACAGCAAACGATCTCCTGCATGGAATAGCAGCTCCATCCACACTCATAAATGCAGCAGTAATCAAAACCTAGCCCAGCTACACTATCTGCACTCATCTCAAGGAGAAGAAAACCCTCGACAGCTGTAACAGCCATCTCAACCATCAGATTGCCTCGCCGCTTCAATTTGTTATGAGGGTCTGGTTTTTTTTTTGGTTTTTACATCAAATACACCCTTCCTACCTAGCCCTTGTTATAGAGCCTCCAGATTACTTTTTAATTGAGCTTCTGGAGATGAGCGATAAGGTTCAGGAGTGGAGACGGCGCTATCCCCCCAGGCTCTTTCGGGCAGCCTGGGGCGTCCTTCGGCAGCTCCTGCACCACCGCAATGAAGATGCCGCCACCTGGTGGGACCTCCACGGGCTCGGGTGGACCCCAGGGAGGGGAGAGTGTCCCCCGGGGAGGGTCATGGTTCACACTCCCCGTCCTCCCACGGACATCTGGGAAAAAAGCCATCCAGCAGCACGAGCAGGGCTGGAAGGAGAGGACTTGCTGACAACGACAAGGTGCTATTCATTACCAAAGCCTCTTGGTGCTCATCCAAAGTAAGATGGTTTGGAAACAGATAATCTTTGCATTTTTAGGTACAACTGCAAGCAGTTGAAGAAGAGAAGGAAGAAAAAAAAAAAAAAAAAAAGGAGGTGTCAAGCTACCTACAAAGCCACGGCGAAGCAGGCTGCAAAGAACCAGAAAACCCTGAGAACAGTGTTGGAGTCATTGACACAAGAGCCGAGCAAGGTAGACGACGGGTTGCTGGGATGGATAACTCACAGAAATTGGGCTTTTGAAGGGAACTTCACATAATTAGGAGATGCTTCAGTTCAGCGCTCGAGCCACAGCTATTTTTTAATCTCCACATGATACTACGTGCATTACCATGGCTTCAGTTCTGAGCACAAGTCTACTATTTTCTGAGGGCCAACACTTAAAAGCTTGGAACTCAGATTTGAGGCAGCCAAGGGATGTTTCTGTCTGGTTTCACGGGGTCTAGGGCTTTTTCTGCAATCAGAGCCAGCGAAGCTCTGTCTGTAGATCAATATCCATGAAAAAGCATGGAGTCCTTCAAGCCTGTGTTTGAAGAGCCTTCTCTTTCTGCCAGGAGAAGGGGGTGAGGAGGCTTATTCTGGCAGCGAGGAATGTCTCCAGAGTGCCCGCAGGATTAGATGACAAGGTGATGAAAATGTCCACATCTGATCTGCACTCAAGTTTGTACAACTACTATCATCTTTTAGCACCACTGCCTTATCTGGACATTTCCCAGTCCAGATAAGGCCCCAGAGCAACAGTGTCTAGCCGCAGGATGAACACTGAAGAACAGACTTTTCCCCATGCTGTTTTCTACATTTCAGAAACTCCTGTTTTGAAATTTTAGCGCATGAGCGTTTGCAGTGAGCTTAGAGCAGAGATATTAGAAATGAATTTGACAACCACTGTTACAGAAGTTTACAGTCTGTGTCTAAACAGGTTGTAAGTCAGGCAAAATCCGATTCTGCCCCCATCACACGCAACATTTAACACCAGTGCTGCAATGTTGGCTTTATAATTCATGGCTCCAAAATCCATGGGTGTTCAGTCAGCCACACCAGGAAATATAATTGCTCTGTTTTCACGGTTAACATTGAGAATGCTGTAAATTCAGTTATTCCCCTGCCACCTCCTCCCCAAATCTGTTTCAAAGAGCAGAGAAAATGACCTTGAAACACCAGTTGATGCTTTCAAAAGTCAGTTATCCCTTGTACAGAGAAAAAAAAAAAAAATCATAGCATTAATCCAGGCAAGACATCTCATCCCTCCTACCCATTACACACATGCCACGAGTCTGAAAGGAAGCCATCATCTAAAACACATGTTGATACATATTTTACAGAAACATTAGTTGTGTGTCAAAAGTAGTTCTTGGAAACATCATCTAACAACACTCACATGATTTGTGTTTTGCGAGCAATTAAATTTATCACTCTAATAAGCAAATTTGCTGTTCCCGCTCACTATTCAAACATCAGGTTAGAAGAAACTGCTCACGTTACAAACTTTGGCCTTCAGTAAGGAAACTGTATTGCTGTGGTTTGATAATGTCCTCGCTAATTCACTTCACCAGAAGGTGCCGGACCTCCAGAACACTGAATGAAAAAGCTACACTTGAACTACTGCAGCTAACGCAGGAAATGCAAAAATAGCCGGACTGCGATTTAGATCTCGTAGCAAAGTCAGACAAGACCTCAGTGTCACACTGAAATCACATCCAGACATTGTGAAGTCCTACTGTATTTGCATCACTGTCACTCTGCTAGAAAGCCACAGAGACCGGTAATGATGGTACTTTACTACAAAATTCTTTGTGCTTACAGATGAAGTTTTACAGGCTCTGCAACCAGACCGACTCCCCTCATGCCAGTAATTATCTCTTTGGGTACAGACAAAGTGGATGGCACACCACGGCCCGAACAGAGATGCACAGAAATAAACAGTCGTCTTTAAGTGGCTGCTGAACATCTTTTCTTTCAGAAAATGTTTCCACTACTTGAGCCACTTTTCACACAGTCACCTTTCACTTGGAACAGCTCCCCAACACAACGGTCCATGTTCGTAAAGACACGTGGAAAAGAAATGCTATGACGTCAAAAACTGCATTTCTTGCCATGCTAGAAAATGCTTCTCCACTTCTCATATGCCAGATAGTCCTTCCCTCCCCCAGCCATTCATGGTGAAATAATTAGTGTTAGTGTTCTCATTGTTTATCAGACAATACAGACAATAAGGCTAAGCTTTCTGCTCCTGTATCCTTTCGTTATGCTGCTTCGGTTCCTCAAGCAACTGTTCAAGGCTTTACTTTTAATCCTATAAATAACACTTGTCACTCATAGGTTTGTAACCCATATTTAGTTGTGCACAAACATGGCACAGTTTCAGCTTGATTCATTGTCTGCAAACTTCTCCAGATGTGTTCATGCAAGAAAAAAAGGCTAATGAGCAGGATGAAATAAACAAATACTAGCTAATCCGATTGCAATTTCGTAGGGAAGGAGAGAAGACACTACTACATCAGATTCTTTATAAGGGAGAAAGATAATGAGTTGTTTTTAAACACAGACTAGGAATAATTAGTTATTGTCCTTGGGCTACGAGATATATTTTTATATGCTTGAAGTCTATGCTGATTTTTATAGCCTGTGAGCTAGCTGCTCTGTCACAGGGAATTTTTTCCCATTTATCTACATGTTGGTGTCAAACTACAAACACATCACAACATATGACTTTATCAACGAGCAATGTTTTTCGCTGTGGCTAATTTTGAAACCGCATTCCTGCTTCCACTCACACAAGATATAACCTTGGGTAACAATCAGATAGGCTGGTGCCAGACATCCTCCTCTTAAGTACATTCTCATTTTACCTTTGGAAAGTATTCTAAACAAACAAACAATCTGAAGGCAATTTGCTTTCTTTGGAGCTCCCCCTGACAACAGCAGAGATACAATTTTTTTTTTTTAGAAGGCTGCATTTGATAGTCTCAGCATTAGGCTGAGAGTAACAAAAGAAAGACACGCAAGAAGCAGCAAGCTAGACACGGTGGAAACTACTAAAAATCCCAAACTTCTATTACAATTAATTGCGCTAAGTATAACTTTGCTCATTGATGCACCAGACAGAAAGCAGACAGACAACCTCGTCCCACTGCACCAGCTTTTCAAGCTTCCAAAATAAACACAAAGGTCTTTGAACAGACAGTGCTCTCCAGAAAACCTGCAGCCTGATCCTCCTCATTTGATATGTGCAAGGGCTAATGCTGGTGGTACTCACAATAATTAACTGCCATCAGCCAAGAAATCCAGCAGAGTTCTTGTAGATAACTTATTTATGTCATCTTTGTGTGTCGAGAATAATGCAAACAGTAACAGATCAATGATATGAGTAACAGAGAGCATTTGCTACCTAGTTTTACAAGCCAGAGAAAACCTGGATAATCTCTTTGGGATTCAAGGTGGGGGGGCAAGACGACAGGGCCAACCAGCAGCGTGACAGGATCAGATGTTAAAAAGTACCAATAAAATAACGTGGTTTTTGCAGGTTCTCCATAATGTTAGGCAACGGTAACATAGTAACTGCACGTGCAAAGACCACAACTGCTGCCTTTTCAAGGATGGGCCATCAGATTTGTTACAGGAGGGAAAACAAGATACCGTCTGAATCGATCTTCACTCTGAAAGATGGGAGTAATTATCGTTAGATTACCAAGACAAACAAGAGGGAAAGACAAGGTAAAGATAAAACAGAATTTCCACTATTTAGGTGCTGATGGAGAGATTAAGCCTGACTGCATTTCAGTTGGGAGCCTAAACAAACCAGAGGCCCGGTCACATAAATCAAGCTAATTTTAAAAGGTTACATACCAGGGAGAGTTTGAGAAAGAAGGGGAAACGGCACCGGGTCCTGTACGCTGGCCAGACCGCTAAAGATTTTAACATCCTTTTTATAAACAATAAAGGTGCCAATTTAACACACACACCCCAGTAAGTCTGGGGCGACGGGACCCACCGTATCAGCACCTCCCAGGCCTTTAGTACCTCATTAATACTAATCAGAGCCGGCGTCGGCAGACGGCGAGGGCTCAGCCCTGCTTGTCCTCGCACCCTGGACTTGACTCCCGGCGACACAAAAGGTTTAGATAACGATCCCCGCCCGAGAACATCGCGACATCCATTCCCCCCCCCCCCCCCCCAGCCGGTGCCGGCTCGGGCAGCGCGGGGCATCCTGCATCCCAGCCGGGAGGGGGGGTGGGGGACGGGCGGGGGTAAAAGGAGGGGAAAAACATTAAAAAAAAAAAAAAAAGTTTGGGCCAGGAAGTTTTCCGCTCCCCCCCCCCCCCCCCCCGCCCCGGGCACCCCCCTCACCGTAGACACGGAGCCAGCCCTGCTGCTGGCAGACCGACTCCAGCAGGACGCGGTCCAGCGCGCCGCCCGCCGCCTCCAGCTCCTCCGAGCCCAGCTCCGGCTCCGCAAACGCCTCCGCCGCCCAGGCCGCCGGCTCGCCCGCCGCCGCCGCCGCGGCGGGGGGAGCGGGCTCCATGCTGACGGGGGGGGGGGACGGGACGAGCCGCGCCGGCGTCCCGCGCTGCGCCCCGCTTCGCCTCAGCGCCCGCCGCGGCGCGGCTCCATCCCTCCTCCTCCTCCTCCTCCTCCTCCTCCTCCTTCCCTTCTTCTCCTTCTTCTCCTTCCCTTCCCCGCCCCGCCGCCCCCTGCGTCAGCGCGGGGGGGGGAGGAGGAGGAGGCGGCGGCCGCTGCCCGCCCGCCCGCCCGCCCCAGGGCCCGGTGGCGGCGGCGGCCCCGCCGCGCCCTCAGCGCCGGCGGCACCCCGCGCCCCCAGGCGCGAGCAGTGGCGGGCCGAGCGCCCCCCGCGCTCCGACGGGGGCAGGCGGCGGACGGCGGGGCTCGGCCAGCCCAGAGTAATCGGACGCCGAGGCAGCGAGCCGCGACCCCCCCCTTTTCCCTTCCCCTGAGGGAGATGGCGACCGCAGCCTTTCTTCCCCACCGCGGGGGCGGGCAGTGCTCTCCCCCCCGTCCCCGCTCCGCTCCCGCCTCCTCTTTAGGGCCCCTTCCCCGCGCGGGGCTTCGTGGCCCCCGAGGGGGTTCATCGCGCCTTCCCCAGAGGGTTCAAAATGGCCCGCGAGGGGGGGCTTCCCCTCAGCCCGCCCGCCGCGGGGTAACCGCAGGAAAGGCGGCTGGAAGCGGAGTTTGTGGTCTGGGAGAAGCATCGCGGAAAAGTAAAAATCCGGGGGATGAGACCTCTGGGGGTCTGCCGGGGTGGGGGGTTTAACACACGCATCTCACAGAGATCTTTTCTCCGACCTGCTAGAAGCGTTTGGTGGTTGTAGTCTCAAAAAACGGTGTGAGACGGGGGTTCCCCAGGTTCAGACCTTCAGTCAGCGTTCACATGGCGTTTCGGAGCATGCCCGATCGAGACTGTTAAATCTTTCATGCGCTTACACGGTCCATTTCTTTCAGGTACGTGGGAAGGAGATGGGCTGGAGAGAAAGGAGGACGACTGGCCTGATTAAGCTAATTTCATTCAGGAGATTTGCAGGTTGGTTTGTTTTGAATACCTAATTACCAACCTCCCCAAGCACACCAGGTTTTAATTTTCTATTTTTTGGTGAAGTTCCCAGTGCTTAAGGTATGTGTTCTTTAAAAATCCAGAATAAAATATTTGTGAATATAGCATGCATCCCACAGTGTCTTTTCAAGCACGATATTGTTACTTGAATTTTCAGGGAGGGTGGGCAAGGGGGTTAAGCTTGCTTTGCATTCCTTCTCTGTAATCTCTTGGTCTGAGTTCACCCCTGTCCAAGATCGATATGAACTGGGTAGATTCATCCAAGCGTGTAGATTCAGCGATTATCTCTACGGTGCATAGAGGATTCAGCAAATCGGCCACCTCCTCAACATTTCTCATTGAAATCTGAAGCTTAGCACGGGCTGTGTCTCTGGGCTCATCTCCGCCCACCACTTCTGTGTTAGTATAAAGGGACTAACATTATTTTCTTTATTGAAATAACTGTGGACGTAGCATGGACCTATAGCAGTTATACTGCCATGAAGCTGATTTAAAGTAGATCCATCTCCCCTGCTTTCTAACTGTGCTCATTTTATTTTACACTACGACAGAATAAGAAGGTTCACATAGTTACTGCAGCTCTGTTGAAGGGCACTAACATCCCTCTGAAAGGGCCATAACTCGCTTAAGCTCTGCAGCTTGGCAGCTTGGGATCAGCTGCCTGATCCTGAAGGTTTGTCTCGAGAGTTCCCAAAAGCTCCTCTTGGGAGCTGAGGACTTGCAGAGTGGTAGAGAACGATGCTCTCCTGACCCAACTGGATTAGAGTACCCTCACGCTGGTATAGTTGCGTCCGCGGTAGAAGATGTATTAACTATTTCAATGGAGGGAAAAAAAGTCCTGCCAGCCCTATGATTAATTGATGAAACTTTGTTTCCTGTGGGTTTCTGTCTCATGCTTGACTGAGAGCTTGACCTGAATCTTGCCCCTACAACTGGGTCATTCCCTACCCAGTGGGGAGCCCTGTTTTCCGAAACGGGATGAGTTTGCATTGCAGTTTTTCCAGTGTATGGTGGGAATATGCCCTCTGATGCCATTTCCAAGCTGAATTTGAAAACAAACCTTCAGAATGTTCGGTTGTTTCGTGGTCGGCAGCACTGGTGTAGCCCAGTTTCCTACGGATTCACGTCTCGGCATAGATCCCCTGGTATCTAGCAAAGGGTGGATGTCCTCAGTGAAGAGGCTTGTAGGATGTCTCTGCTTTACCTTGCTGCCAGTTTTCATTATTCCTGCAGGGGTTTAATTAGCTCTTGGACCTTTTTCCCTCTGTTTGTTTTGTTTGAAACAGACCAGCGAGTTCAACGCTTCCTCAGGTTGTAGGAGGTGAGACACCAGATCAGGGGAAAAGAGAGATCCTGTGAGCTTGATGGTGCCAGCCTCAATTCTCTGGGAAATAAGGATTTTAAAATTACCCTTATAACCAAGAAAAGTTAAACCAGGATGAAATCTGGCGAGGATTCATCCCTCCATCACTGTGACAGGCACAGGGTGAATCTGCACAGTTCTGCACAGCAGCAGCGCAGCTGGGACACCCAGTAACCTCTCCTGGCTCCTTCCCACCCCAAAACATGCTCTGCATTCTGGTTGCCGAAGGACGGGGAGCTGAGGACAGGCGGACTACTCCTTCTAGAGCAGACATCTGCATAAACTGCCATAATAACACCATAAAGCAGGAGGAAAACCGATTTTTCCCTCCTACATACTCTCTACCGCTGCTCGTTCCCACTGCTGCTGATAATATAACGAGGTACATATTTCCCAAGCTTATCATTTAGTGGCCACAATCCAATAAACTCTTCAAAGTTTTCCCCTCCTACTCTCCCTGCAGCCCCCTTCTTGCCGTCGGCCTCCCAGAGACTTTGTCCCTCACACAAGCCTTAGGGGCTTTACCTGCTGCAGCTGCTGGGAGCTCACACGAGCCACTGCAGGGGGAAAGGGGCGACGAAGCCGCTTGGAGAAAGGGAGGAGGAGCTGGCGTGTTGCGAGGGAAGGATGTGGCTGCTGAGCTACTGCCAAAAGGGGAATAGTGGAGTTTTAAAAAGCTGCCACACGATCTTGGGACGACAATTAGGCAGGAGCGGCACAAGACACCAGGCAACCGGTTCCCATCAAGTGAGGACTGGTTGTATCTGCAAGTATGATCAAGCTATCCTAACAGCAAGGTCTGGAACGACTGGATAGTGAGGTTTCTGAAATTCACACAGTAGTAGGAAATGAAATCCATTCCCCTGCCTTTATTTGTGGGGTTTGGTGCAATATAAACAATAATAAAGAGCAGGGATGACTAAAATAGGAAGACGGGTTTTGCAGGCATGACAGTAGCAAAAATAGACATATTTTATAAATAAAGACGTCCTGGAAATCAGAGACTCCTGAGTTTTATGCTCAGCAGCTCAGCTGTTCTGTCTGGGGGTCTTCTCCACCAGTAGCGCCTGGGGGATTTGGGCAGGCATAAATGAGGAGTAATATAAGCACATACATGAAATTCCCTTCGTGTAAAACAGCCCCATTAGTTGATCTACTTGTGGCTGTCAGGTTAAACCATGGGCTCTAGTTAAATTAGGGCTGGACGTTTACTCAGAATAGGTTAAATCAAAGTGTTTGAAAAGAGCTGCGTATGTATTTCCATTAAGCCAAGAAATTGAACTACATCAGTCTGACTTGAGAAAATAAAGCTTTTGAGCTGACCTTCTTCCAGGAGAATGAATTTGTGTCTTCAGGAGCGAGCAAGTCTCACTTCAGTGACCTTATCTCAAAAAAAGGCGATAATAAAATGGTAAGAGACACGGAGGAGCGTGGTGAGGACAGTGGAAGTGACAGGACAGATACCATATGAGGAGGAAAGACTAGAAAAATGAAGAGACTCCCGTTTGAAAGAGCAAAGCCTTGAGGCGAGTGAAGACACAGAAGTCTGAAATGGTCAGGGAGGTCTGGTATGGACCTGGAATTATTTTCCCTGTTTCTCACAAGACGAGAGTGAAGGAGCATGGAGAGAAATGTTCAGGATCTGGGTCTAAAGCAGACAAAAGGAAGTACTTTTTCACACAACACATAATTACATTGTGGAACTTATTGCCACAGGATGTCATGGAGGCCAAAAGTATAAATGAATTAAAAAAAAAAAAGGATTAGACAAATTCATGCAACCTCCAGCTCAGGAAGTCCCTCAGCTGCTGATTACCGGGAGCCGGGAGGGTATGCCGGAGGAAGGATCACTTTATACTCTCCCTCTTCCGATATCCCTTCCTAAGCATCTGCAGCTGGCCACGGCCAGGCCCTGGTTATTGCCCAAGGTGAACGTTTATTCTGAGCCAGCCTGGCAATGCTTATATCCTCCTGGTAACTCCCTATGGATGGAGCCTTGGGGACCAGAGGCGTCTGCTGGGCAGATACGGCACTGACCCCTAATTTTGTTACCTCCCGCCTGACGTGGTCCCGGCGAAATCCATCGTGGCCACTCTTTGCTGGTTTAGGCTGGTGTAATTGAGGCCAGACTGAGCCCTGAAACCTTCAGAGAGACTCTCCCGCTTTCCCTGCCCCTGGGATTAAGCGCCGAAATCTCCGTGCTAAAACCCTCTTTGAACAGGGATGGCAGATAATGCGCAAACTGATTAAAAAAAACCCCAGCGCTGGGGAAAGTTAAATATTAAAGAGCCAAGGCCCAGTTTTAGCTGCTGCTGCCGTCCCTCCTTCATCTCATGCCAACTGCCTCCAGGATACATATGCTGACACTGAATTTCTACCTCACAAAAGCGGCCGCAGCATGGGCTTTAAACTTAGGCCATTAATGCCGGGATAGGAAGCAGAAAAATAGAACAAAGGCAGAGAGAGGCTCCTCCGGCTCCCGCCCGCTCCGCCTGTGCCTGATCCATCCCTGCAGCATCGCACGGTGGCTACCCCGGCACCCCCTTCCCCTGCTCCTCCGATGTTTCCTTTGACTTCCCAACATTAGTAGGTCTGAAATATTTTGCTGCCTGCTTAGCCCGGTTGTAACTAAACTATAATTTTCACTAGCGGAGGAGAGGGATTTCGGAGAAACATCTGG